AATTATGGTGAGTATTTTGTCCATAAAACACAAATTGAAAATGATATAATGTAAGTCTAAGGGAAAATGAGACTCAACTTAGGGACACTCTTGATGCACCAATTACGTCAGCATCTCAGGGTCTCACTGTATATACATTTTGGTTTTAGAGATGAATCTCTTTTCAACGGAAGTGAAGGGACTAGAACAAAATAATTAAGGATCATTTCGTTGCATTTAGAGAGCGTCCAGTAGCAGTACTATTCCCAATAAATACCTTCGATACTGAAGTTGATGAAGTAAGCAGCGAGGAGCTCAATAACGGAATCACACGCCGTCACTTTGTACAATATTCTCGGGGCTTCTCCGGCACCAGTTGATGACTTGGCCTTGTAGAGTTGAATCACTCGCGACTGCGGCGTGAACACCGGGAAGGATTTCTCAATCAGGATATACTCGGGCTTCCCGGCATACACCCCCGGAAGCACTTTGAAACTCAATTGCAGGAACCCGAACCGGTTGAACAGATCCACGCTTCGTCCGATCTCGAAGCTCACTTGATAGTCCTCGGCGAAAATGGAATTCGCCATGGGATTCTGTTGGTCAGCAGAGCCCAGGGCTGCCGCATTATTAGTGTGGCTGCTTTGCGAATAAGCCGATGACGCTGGATGACTGCTGCTAATGAATGTCGCGATCATTATCCCGACGATTATCACAGTCCGCCGGCAGCAGAAGCAGTAGCAACCCCGGAATAATAACGAGGGATTAAGACTGCTGCTGGTGCTGATGAGATTCACGAAGTTACTATTATTGTCACCCATCGTGTTATTTTCACTATCACTCGTCGCTGTGAGATTTCCCACTCAGTATATTGCTTATCGTCTTCAGCAACCACAGCAGCGGATGATGATGGCTTCTTCACAGGGAGAGTCAGGATGATAAACTGCTGAGCTTTGTGTTTTTGGATTCACCATACGGTTCCATGGTACATCGAGCGCCTGCGTATATACAGTAAAATATATATGGATATATAATATAGGCGACCAAAGTCAGTGTCAGTGATACCCATGCATAAGTATAACAGAGACAGCGAAAGTGTCAACAAAGACAATAACCCGCGCTGTCACGTACCAAAAGTTTCCTGCTGCGAGTCTCTTGTCATTTTAAATCATTTACAAGAATTGATGACGATAATGAGTGCGTTAAATTATAAGCTTGCCTTGTTTAATTCTTGAGTAGAAGGATTCTGCTCTTTTGTGTACTGTAATGAGGGTGATCCTAACATTCCAATATTTTTTGATAAGTAGATCATCTGGGCTAGACGGAATATTATCTTTCTATTGCTTTGAACCGGAAATATGAATCTTTGGCTGCCTCATCAGGAATAAACTTTTTTTTTCAATTTTTACTAGCTATCATTAATTGACAATTTATTAGGCTTTTATTTTAGCAGTGCATGCCACATAGGCAACAAAAAAAAATCATGAACCATAACTTATTCTCATGAGCTATTATTAATAAGTCAAGAACTTGATTTGTGACTTCAAGAGTTTCTTCAACTTGCTCAATAACCTAATTGTACAAACTATAATTTTGAATCTTTTATCAGGCTATTCTGATTATAGTCAAACTAAGTTACAGTCAGCCCCCGTCTAACGGACTTGATTTGTGCAAGGGATGAGTCTGTTAGACGAAAAGTCCTTTACACAAATTCAATTAATATAAAGCATTGAAAATTTCAATTTTCAACACTAATTTTAAACCAAAANTTACACAAATTCAATTAATATAAAGCATTAAAAATTTCAATTTTCAACACTAATTTTAAACCAAAAGAAGTCTGTTGGGCGGGAGGAAAAACTGCTTGCAGAGCTGGTCTGTTCGGCGAAAATCCCTTACACGGGAGGTCTGTTAGGCAGGGGGCCACTGTATATCTATGAGTAGCATACTTTAATTATGATGATTTATTGCTCACATTTCACCAGTCTTTATGCATATTCATATATTCTTAAAATTTACACCAGTGATGGTTAGAGGACAGAAAGAGCAAATATGGTACACAATTTTAACTGGCTTTTGTATACCACTCTTCAATACCATATACAGTACAATAAAACTGGAATTATCCATCATGGGTCACTTTATTGTGCTTTAAATCAATAAAAAATCCTTTGTTGCACTGATGTGAAGCAAATGGATCTTCATGCATTCTATTTTAAGCACTGATGGTAGTGTGTTTACTTGAATTATTTACTCTTATTGGAATAAAACCTGTAGGAAGGAAACTCTGATCCCAACTTTAGTTAGCATAAACAAAAATGTACTAATATTATCTTTGCTAAATTTTAGGAATGATTGTAATTATTGCTGAATAATTCTTGAAGTACTGAATTTTAAACAAATGTATTTATTGATTCTATTTTTTTCAATGGACTGAAACTTTTATGCTTCTAAAATGTTCTTTTTATTTTCAAGTTCCATTTGTTAATTGTTCAAAATTCCACAACAATGCAGGTAATATAATTATGTATTGCTTATTCTGATGTCCAATTAAAAAATTATAATTTCATATTTTACATTTTTCAACTTCATTTTCCAATAAACTTCCAATCCATTTGAAATAATATGGTATCTAGCTAGCCAACCAATGGGGAGGTCTATTCACGTTTGATGTACATATGGTATTTTTGTTAAGCATCACATTTTATAATGTCCCTTGAAACTCTAAAATACGGTAATATTGGAAACATCTACAGCAGAATTTTTGCCATATTTCAGAACAAGTTAGGATGAGTACCACGTTGAAATTTGGAAAATACTTCATCAGCACAATCTTATAGTATATACGTCTTAGTTCACTTGGTCCACGCTGACAAGGGATGTCAGTATTCAGTAATGAATAAGAAACACTTTTACTGACTATACTCATGTATCCACATCACAGCATACTGCATTATTTGCTCACAGCACCTTTTTGATCAAACCTTCCTCACACGCGCATTCACTTATTTTCGTCCACGATTATTCGACTGGTTTCGCGTGCATAATTCAACTCGCATGTATCACCTGGTTCGCAGCTTCTTTTTTTTTCATTACTTATTTTATTATTTTATGTTGAAGTCATGCTTGGTCTTTTCCATTATTTCAGGGATTGTGATGGTGCTGGGAAAACAAAAACAGCATCAGGTAATGGATGCCCTATAGGATTTTTTCTCTCTATTTTCCTCTCAGAGTGGGGGATTGTATTTGAGCTGAGATAACTCAACAAATTCTCTGGAACTGCTGTGCTCGGAGTCTTTTTCAACTGGTACATTTTTGTTTGTGTGTGTGTGTTTTGTTGTGTGCTTATGCATGCAGGAAGTGAGTGGGGTAATGATCAAGGCGATTGAGGCGTCAATGGAACTCCAAAAATAGCTGCAAGATATTTATCCAACATCAGAACCTACTGTTGGTTGGTTTCTGGGAACTCCTTATTATACACTCGCTTTCTTTCCCCAGTTAATTCTTTTTGGGGTAATAAAGAAGTAAAAAGATTGTGCATCATTCAATAAATATAAAGCCATTCCTTAGATTATTGAAAGTGGTTTTTCAGTTCACTGCTTTGGTCAGTATGTGCTAGTAAAATCTCATTAGGACAAAATATTAAAATCCTATTAGGACGAAAGTTTCAGCAAAACAAACTTTTTTCCCAAGTCCCAGCAGAAATCATGCTTATATAAAAATCTTGTTACAACAAACTTGTCAATTCCAGTACAAAAAAATGGTTTGAGGGACATAAGTAGGTGGAATCAAGGACAAAAATTCTTAGAAATTCACCTAAAAATTCTCTCTTCCAGAAATTTTCCCTGGGTTAGGAAAGATGGTGATGGGGGGGGGGGGGGGGTTTAGATTTAAAAAATTAACCCAGCAAAACTCAAGTTAAAATGGACATGTATGCTTGAGAGACTCTACTGATGTAAAAATTGTAAGCCTCCTCATCCTAGAATTGTATTATTGGGAAAAAACTTTTTTTGGAACATCCAACCTTAAAAATCTGTGCAGGAATAGCTTAGAAAAACTTTAAAAAGTGTTAGTGTATATACCTGTTATTCAGGGTGGATATTTGTTAGTAACATCTAAATTTATTTTTGAAGATCAGTTTTTAAACACTGAAAAACATCTGAAAAAAGCCACGAGAGGAAGACGTTGAATATGTATATGCTGGGTCAAAGTCAAAGAAAATCTTCCAATTGGACAATAATTTTCAAAATCTTGTTGTACCAAATTATTTGTTTTAAAAAACTTTTTCTGAATTCCCCATGAGTTTGTTGTAACAAGATTTTAGTTTATACAGTATTCTCAGTTCATCAGAGTTTTTCAATATTTTTTTTATCAACCCTACAAATTTATGGCAAGGAATAAGCATACCACAATATATTATGAACACTTTATACAGTATTATGATCCCACTGCTGAATATTATGATGTTATATAATAGGGATTCAAATGCCACTTATATACACTTGTATATTGAGATTCATAATTATGACTAAAAATAGAAATGATGTATCTTTGATTTATACCCCTTTTAAAAGTTTCATCACAAGGATGAAATTGGCTTTACAACTGCATGGATGTGGATGATATGAGTTGCAATAACGTACAACTCAGTTCTGTTGTGAGCCTATGACAGCATTTTATACGCTGATAACCTTTTTTTCCCAAGTACAGTAGCTGCATGTATATACTGTACATCTGAAGCATTGTAGACATGAAAGTTGCTAATGATAGAAGATGGTGAATTTTTTTTTACCTCAGCAAAAGCGCGTACACTCCGTAAATACTGTACGCGATAATAGCAATTTTGATTTTTTCTCCAACCCACATGCATCAGTATTACGGTATGATATTGCAGTCTAATTTTTAGTATTCTGTAACACGTATTATATGCGCACTGTAGAGTATACGGATTCAATGAATTTGTTCGATTTTTTTTTCATGGGATATTTATATACATCAGCAGTTCCTCAAATGGCAAGTTGAAAAAAATTTCTATGTTGTTCAGCAAGAAAAAAATGAAATATTGTCACCGCTTGGATACAATTTTTACTCGGCTTTATCACGCGAATCATTAAATTCAGGCTTTGCTGACTTAATATGTATTCACCATCTTTACATGCAGCTTTAAAAAATGTTCGTAGATTTTTTTGGCCATTCCGCGTGGAAAGTTGAATGCATGCTGGGTCAGTAGCAGTACTATACAATATTCAAATTCTTCAGATCAACATCACTGAGGAATGTAATAAAGTACAGTGAAATATTTAAAAACTGCGCGTGTCCAGCAATGAAAATTCGACAATTATCACAAACATAATCTAGAAATGAGTAATGTAAAGCAGTAAAAATATACTCCTCAACGTCCAGGGCCGACCCGTTAAGAGGCGACCAAGATGACGTTTTCTCAACGTTCATGCTGAAACGGCATGTCATACCGCTGGCAACGCGTTTTGAAACGTCCAAATTATTTGCTGGGTATGCGCACTGTAGAGTATACGGATTCAATGAATTTTTTCGATTTTTTTTTTCATGGGATATTTATATACATCAGCAGTTCCTCAAATGGCAAGTTGAAAAAAAATTTCTATGTTGTTCAGCAAGAAAAAAATGAAATATTGTCACCGCTTGGATACAATTTTTACTCGTCTTTATCACGCAAATCATTAAATTCAGGCTTGCTGACTTAATATGTATTCACCATCTTTACATGCAGCTTTAAAAAATTTTCGTAGATTTTTTTGGCCATTCCGCGTGGAAAGTTGAATGCATGCTGGGTCAGTAGCAGTACTATACAATATTCAAATTCTTCAGATGAACATCACTGAGGAATGTAATAAAGTACAGTGAAATATTTAAAAACTGCGCGTGTCCAGCAATGAAAATTCGACAATTATCACAAACATAATCTAGAAATGAGTAATGTAAAGCAGTAAAAATATACTGTACAGTATGTGTAAATTTGTATTACGGTACTGCATTTGAGCCAGAAGATGTCGTCTTGCCATATTGAAAATAAAATAGACCACTTTGTACTGTAAATATAATAGATCTGCGGAGCGGGAGACGTTTTTGTATTCGTTCGATGAATACTAAATGCTGGAGAACATGCACGTGCAAGGCACAATCTGATGCAGTACTGTTTTAACTACTGTATACCGTATATATATATATATATGCAGTAATAAGTTTATTTCTCTCGGAACGCATGAAGCTATGTGTGAGATTTCCGGAGTTCCAGCGATGATGTGCCAGCTGTTACCCATGAGATATTCGATCTCAGTAGCACGAATAAACTATACGCGGAGTATGCCTGCTTTCTCAGCAGATGACGATAAGCAATGTGGACTGAATAAAATGTGTGCGCATGGATACGCGGGTAAGGCATCCACCTGACTGCGTTTTTTAGAGTTTCTATTACATATTTTGATTCTTCTACTTAGTTCTATATTGTTTCGTGATTATGCCTGAAGAATTATGAGAGCCTGAATACTGGATGCTGCGAAGAAAAACGCTTTGTTCGTGCTTGCCAAATATTGACCAATATCGTTGAAAGTGACATCTATACTGCTTTCTCGTGATGAATGAAAGCATCAATGTCTATAGTACATACCAGAGAGGATGGATGCCCAGTGATTCCGGGCGGTTTTGTGTAGAAGCAGCGTGAGCCCGCCGTCGTGATCTCAACTGTTGTTTCATGAAGGATTTTAATTGTTTGGACTAGTGGCATGCCCCACACTCCCTACAGAACTTCGATGCATTGGAATCTTACTCGTATCCTCATGTGCTTTAGTGAGATTAACGTGTCCATCCCGTTTTTTTTGCGAAGAAGCCGACGGAAATAAACCGCAATTTATGATTAGAGCTGTCGGCGTGGACATTTAAGACGTGTATTGTTTGTGACGATAGTATTATATCATATCTTTCTCCAGAGATGAATTTACAACTGTGACGTGTTCGGCTTTAGCTCTAATCATGACTTTCAGCCTGATGCGCTGGAAGAATGCTTCGCGTGCGGAACATCCGATGAGTTCGGGATTGCTCTTCTTGGGATTCAACCAGGATCACGGTGAGCATTATTTCATTTTGTCTAATCACACTGTTTCGTCAAGTAGCTGTTTCACTCTTTCTCTTCGGACAATTATCGAGTCGTCATTTCGAATGCTCTCTTGTGTTCTGTTGATGAATCTGGAAATTATTTGTTTAGGTTGCTTCGCTTGTGGTTTGGATAATGGATTCCGAATATTCAACTCGGATCCTTTGAAAGAGAAGGAGCGGAGGGACTTTTTCGACGGCGGAATCGGATATGTCGAAATGTTGTTCCGGTGCAATTATTTGGCGTTAGTTGGTGGCGGAGTGTCACCTACCAGTCCACCGAATAAAGGTCTGTCGATTACTGTTGTTCAATTTCCATTGGGGTAATTTTACGTGTAATTAAATTTAGATTTTCATTTTGGATGATTCGAGCTGGATGTCGGAGAGACATTGAAAATTTCTTTTCGTTTATTCCAGTGATGATATGGGACGACTTGAAGAAGAAAGTCATAATCAACCTGGAATTCACTTCGCCCGTGAAAAGCGTGAAACTGCGAAGAGATAGAATCGTAGTCGTCCTGAAGTCCGTGATCAAAGTTTACTCCTTCGCGCATCATCCGCAGCAGTTGAACGTTTTTGACACTTGCCTTAATCCACGTGGAGTCTGCGCATTGTGCTCTTGTAGTGATGAAGCGCTGCTGGCGTATCCCACCCGAAAAACCGGATTTGTGCAAATCGTTGATCTCGTGCGAACGGATCAAGCCCCCGTTGAAATATCTGCGCACGAAGCTACGATAGTTGCGTTGTCCATGAATTTGCCCGGCACATTGCTAGCTACAGCGAGTGAAAAGGTGAGACTATCTTCATTGTCTTCACACAGCCCCTAATTCAAAAATCAAGTGTGAAAGGGGACATTTTGGGGGATGGTACGAAAGTTTTTCGTCTATACCTTGAAATTAACCCAAGTTTTTTTCCTTCAAGCCACTTTTGGCTCGATAAGAAAATTTGAAGGAATTCTCTCAATATGCTAAGAAATTTCAGCCCGAAATTCTATAAAATTTTGCTTCCAACTGCCATTGTACCAACACGAAAATTTCTGAAATCGAAACTTTTATTTTTATCCATAGATTCAAGACATTTTTACTAGAATTTTTCGTCGCTCTCGAAATATCTTATTGTGCATTTGTTAGCGTTGGAACTGTCCTCAAATCCAGAAAACATAAAAGTGAGCCAGGTACGTTGTACTGTACTATATTTCTCTGCTGAGAAAAGGTGCCTTTACAATTTTCTGCCTTCTTCCAATTTAAACCTTTGTACAAATTGGAGCATTCGTCGGGAATCAGTTGTGATTAATGCCTATGGAGTATATTGAAAAGTATTCGCTGAATATTTGCACACACACATATGTGAAATTCAGTCTTGTGACTCCGAGTTTCATGCTTGTCACAGGGAACATTGATCCGCGTTTTCGACACGAAAGCAGGATCCTTGCTTCACGAGTTTCGCCGTGGGGCAAATGCTGCCATTATTTATTGGTGTGTTCTCAGATTTTCCATTTTTATCTTCGTTTTCTTTGGCAAAATATCCCTCCGTTCTTCTTGCAGTGTTAATTTTAATCAAGAATCTTCCATGCTGTGCGTGTCCAGCGATCACGGAACTGTTCACGTTTTCGCCATGGATACCGAAAAGAAAAATCGACAATCAAGGTACAGAGAACTTGAGAAAACGATCGAACGAAGGATGTGTTATCTTGATCGAAATTTTGTTCATCCGTTTTCAGTTTGGCGTCGGCCGGCTTTCTTCCGAAATATTTCAACTCCCAATGGAGTTGGAGCAAGTTTGTCATTCCTGGCTCATCTCCGTGCTTGTGTGCGTTTGGATCAGATTCTTCCATCATTGGTGAGATTTTTCAGTACTTTTTTCAGATATGGTCATTTTGACGGAGCGAACTGATGATGTATTCAATTCTTCGAAGATGGATGAGACGTTAGGACATTATTTTTAGTTGTACAGATTATAAGCAATTTAATCTTCGACCAATTTCTCTCTGTTACTAGGATCTTTCTTTCCGTAGTAGGCGATTGACCCGAGGAAATGCCGTATTAATATTTCAGCGAGTTTAGAGTTTTTGACTGATTCATTATTATTAACTTCGCGTTGAAGGAATTTAGAAGTCAATTCCAGGAAGGAAAGAATGAAAATCCTGGCATCCTTCGGACAAAATAAAATTTTTGACTCAGGGTTGTGTATTATATTGTCCCACACCCCACCAAATTGCATTTCGGGGGAAATGCTGTAATTTCCATGATGGATGAGCATTCATCTATTTTGCGTGAAAGACAGGTGTCATTCCTTCGAACAGTTTCAGACTTCATGTGAAAACCCTTGAAATTTTCGCATTTTTCTCGCATCTACTGGTACAGCAGAATCTCGTCTAAATCAATGCTTTAGACGAATTTATTTTCCCAGGCTCTGTTCAATAGACACGTTTTTTTTTTTTTTTAAATTTTTATCAACGAATTTCTGTTGGTAACGAAGCTTGTAAAGGTTCCAAAGGCCTCGTTGTAACGAGATTTCTGCTGTACTGTATATGAAACACACCGTATATGCAATGTTTTTGTTCGTTGCTTGAAGCAGTTTTTCAATGAATTTATTTTTAAATATTTTTACAGCGGTGTGCGGTGATGGAAGTTATTACAAGTACTCTCTTGGACCAAAAGGAGAATGCTCCCGCGAAGTATTCGCTCAGTACTTGGAAATAACCGAGGAAAGACCGTGATTCTGTGGCATCGTCTATCAAAGTTATTTGTGCAAATTGTGATACAGCTTCTGAATTTTAATGAAAATCGCTCAGCGACTTCGGTGGGTATCAGTCATGAACCGATTCAGCTTCAAGCGAAAGATGTTTTTCGGCGCTCGTTGTTGACGGTAAACGTGCGTTTGCATTAATTTGATCTGTTCTACGTTTTATCGTTGGGAGTAATCTACTGAAATTTCGTGCGAGTATTTTGTGTGCTCTTGATTTCTCATTCAATTCAAAATGTGGAACAGTTAATGTAAAAGCGTGTTTTTTTTGTTTTGTCTTGGTTTCAATTAGTGTTGTGAGAAGGAGACAGAGCACTTATTCTCGTTCGCATTCATCGCTCGCCATGGTGAGTGCTGTAGTACCGTAATCACTCAGTATTCACGTGGGTGTTGTTCGAAAATGCTCCGTTTCAATTTTTTTTATTTTTAATGCAACTTTTTTTTAGATACGTCGGCAAGTTCGACTTCGTAAGGAATACCTTTATCGGAAATCCTTGGAAGAGCGGCGAAGAGCTACGCAGGAGCGCAAAGACAAGATCAAAAATATAGTTGAAGGTATTCATTCAATTCAAAATTTTTTTTGCTGTTTTTCAAGAATAGTAATATTTCATGGAAGGGCAGATGATTCGAACTAGCAAGTATCCGAGTTTTCCTGAAAATAAGACAGGTTTTGTTTTCATTTTTTTCTGGAAAAAGCTAATAGCTGGTTTTGAGGGTATGTATTTCCATGACATGAATTTTGAATTTTGGCGAGATTTACGCGTTGCAAAATTACGAGAAATTAAAATTGGACTGCTGACTGAAGTCTTAAATTGTGGTGAAAGTGATTCAACGAAGTATTTCTGGATTTTGTGAAACGATGTGCAGAATTTTCATAATTGCCATCTCAATTAAGTCAATTGATCGTATAATATTTCACATTTTCATTTTTAATGCGCAGTATTGAAATGTTTTCAGAAATCAGATCGGAGTTTATTTTCTGCTGTATCTTGTGCGGGAGCCTTTTCAATGTATTTTGATGAAACTTGATCGAAAAATTGGTGAACCGGAGTTAGTTTTTCAAAAATTAATTTTCCCCTCGCTTTTTTTTTTACGAAGTTCTGAATATTGTCAATTTTTTTTCTGAATTCCTCTGGTCGATGAATGAATGAAACCTTCTTCTGTGACTTCTACAGACGGAAATGTGATCCCGAATCAGTTGCGAAAAGATGCCATCAGTCTTTACAAAGCTGGAGAATGGGACGACGCTGGACCAGAGGTGGCCGCCTTACGTGCTTCGGAGGCCGAAGTGGGTGGCGGAGTTATGTCGAGTCTTGACGACGAATATCGTTGGGCTGGTGTTAGAGACCCGAAGATCGTCATAACAACGTCCTCAGATCCGTCTTCTCGATTGAAAGCTTTCGTAAAAGTTAGTTTCTTGAAATTTTCTCCGTGTTTCGATTTTTCGTCAACGTTGTGTTTTTTGTATTTTAGGAAATGAAGTTGATCTTTCCCAACTCTCAACGCGTGAACCGAGGAAATTATGATGTGAAACACATCATGGAGGCCTGCAGGGCGAATGATGTTACGGATTTCATCGTACTGCATGAAACCAGGTGCGTTTCCACTTTCCAGGGTTTATTATTCGACGGGATTTTAAATTTTCCGCCTGACAGATAATCTTAAGTGGGTGCTTCGTCCTGATTTACTTGTGGAATACTTCGTGACAGTCTTAAACGCCGTCTTCTTTGATTTCCATGTTGATTTGAGTTAGACACACTTCTTCCTAATTTCAACGAACAAAAATCAAGTTAATCTAGATTCTTTCGTAGAATTGAAGGTTTTGGGGTGGTCAGACTCGGGTAATTTAATTTCATGTCATCACCTCGATTAGATGACGTGATAGAAAAACATTGTTGGAAGTGAAAATTTAGAACATTTTTCAACTTTTTTTCTAAAAAAAAAAATTCTTCTAATACATGTTTTAGTTGAAACTTCGCGATGGCGAAGTTGAGGAAGTTCACTTTAACGAAAAATTGCTGAGCATTTATTATCACTGCAAGTTTTCGTTGCAATTTATTTACTGTACAAGAGTTACCATGTATTGTATTTCTATATTGGATGCACTTCTTCGTCCAACGTGTGCAATTTAATGTCTGGTATACTTAAAAGCTAGTGGAAACGCATTTTTGGCTCGCCAAAGAACTTTTCTTGCGTTTGACGGGCTGAAAATGAAGTACAATACCTCTGAATCTACGGCGCACAATATTTTTATAAAATGAAATACAGTACTTCCTTGACTTTACCTGGCATCACTGCCTTAGTCTGCAAATAGTGTGAAATGGACTGTCTTTAGGTTGGAGAACATCGGCTTTCCGTGAAGTGTAATAACAGTCGGGAAAGTTTCGCAGTTGAAATATTGGAGGCTGCAACTCGCTCATAATTTTGAAATGCTGTATAGCTAATTTTTTGTTGCCTTGTTTTGCAGGGGTCAACCAGACGGAATGATAGTGTGTCACCTTCCGTTCGGACCTACGGCGTATTTCTCCATGTGTGACGTTGTGATGCGACACGATATCCCAGATATGGGGACCATGTCCGAAGCATACCCTCACCTCATTTTTCACAATTTCAAGACGAAACTCGGTCGAAGAGTGACCAGTATACTCAAGCACTTGTTTCCGGTGCCGAAAGAAGATTCTCACCGAGTGATGACTTTCGCGAACCACGATGACTTCATTTCTTTTCGGCACCACACATACAAGAAAGATCCCGAAGACAAATCCAACGTGATCATGTCAGAAGTTGGACCCAGATTTCAGCTCCGACGTTAGTTGAATTTATATATTTTAGTTTTTGTGCCGTGAAGTCGGTTCCAAGGTTGATTCTAATTTTTGCACAGTTCGAAAAAATTGTATCACAAAGTTTCATTTATTTACTTCATTCGTATGATTAATTTTTTGACTTTTCGTGCCTTTTTATCTTACGATATTCTGCTCTGATCCGAAAAAGTTTCTCAGAACTTGTATCTAAAATTTGAAACTTTTCCAATGATGCCAAGTACGAATTTTTCTCTCTTCAGACGAAAAGTGACCCCTCGAACTTTCACCAGAACTTATGTCATTATGAATTATTTGGAGGAGGAATGAGTCAACGTACGATCAACTCATCTCTAGCAGGAAATCTTGGAAGACTATCTTCTCGAGTGTCTTTCATAGAGATGAAGGAGTAGATGATTGATGCATAGCGTATTTCTTTTCCATCCAAAATTCATGCGAGGAAAAATGAATGAGAAAATTGTGAAAATAGTGAGACAGTCAATCGGATAGTCCTTTCAAATTTTCATAACTGCCAAATGATGTACGTTCGCTGGAAAAAACGTCGGAAAAAAGAGGAAAGTCGATTTGCGTGCCGAAATCAGGAATCCATCGTGAACCACCGAAGAGCGAATATGCACAAGGAAGCATCCGAGAGTCAAGTAAAAGAAATAGTCAATGTATGTAACCTATTTCAACGGACGGCGAATTTTCGAGACCAGCTTTTCTGATAATCGTAACCTTGGACAGCTCCTATTCTTACAGTTCGCTCCGTTGAGACGAGGAACACTACCTTTCAGTCGTTGATTATCAACTTCTTGAATCATATTGAAATTTTACAATTTGCTTATTTCGCAGTGTACGAACTAAAATTGGGGACAATGGATCAAACCCGCGCAGCCGAAACCGAATGGGCATTGCGACCGTACATGAATACCGCCAGAAAGCGTCGGTTCTTATCTGAAGATGATGGATGGGAAAATGAGACTTGATTTTTTTTTGTTTATGTTTGATTCGCTTTGGCAAGGGAATGAACGCCTTCGCGCAATGAAAAACTCATTTATCTGAGGGTTGAATCATTTGATTTGAATTTCCTTCGGAATTCCACTCAAAATAGTTTTTTCATTGTTTCAGATTGGTCGCGCGCTCAAGTAGAATCCGCAGATTCTCGGGGAAGTGCTTATTTCTTGAAGAATTCGTCGTGTCAAAGCGTGTGTGTCAGTGGAGCCTGTCGTTTATACAATTTCAAATTGTGATGCATTAGGGAAAGCGAGTGAAAGTGAATTTGTGTGAAGTTGTGCTTCGCGTGTTGACGAAATACTTTTCGGGAGACTTCAGAACACAGCCTTTGACGTTGAAGAAATTTCATATTCAGAAGTGGTGAAGTAGATTCGAATTCCGGGATTTTTCAAATTGCCTCATGGAGCTATCAAAATTTGTAATGCAGGTATCACGCAGAAGAAGTACAGGTTTTTAACGAGAGCATCAGCAATGCATTGGTCATAAATTGCGAGGGATTCTTCCTTGGGCTGCTTGGCCATGATTGTCAAGAAAGTATTATGCTTCTTCAAGTTTCTAGAGACCATCAAAGATGAGAATAAGTCAAGTGAAGATGAAATTATTCAATATGGAAAAGGAATTTGAAAAGGTTCTTCTCCATCTGTGAAAAAAAGGATTGAGGAGTAATCTATGCAGTGTTCATGGTGCATGGTGTCAAGGCATTGTTGGAAAAGCGAGGAAGGTCAACATTTCGCTTATTTTTCCGTTCGGCATATCTGAATGGCTTTCTGCAGTTGATAAAGAGCCTCTGACTTTTTTAGTTTTATTGCAATCAATATGTGTTGATATTGATGATGAATATCAAAAGCACCTAAAAACGGAATGATCTCTTTGAAGGGCTTGACGAGACGACAGAATCTTAATTTTTCCAGGGGTGATAATTATGAAAAGAATCTGATGTAGTTGATGAGGAATTATGCTTGCAAGGTATTTCTTATGCCTCGGATATGTAACCATTCAAGGAAAATCCAACTGTTCCAAGATCATTCTATTGCGTAGATGTGAATCATTTCTGGTTCATGTACAAGAAACTGTAGGTATGTTTGAAGAGTCTTCACAGTTGTTTCAATTCCTGAAACATTGGAGAACAGCAAGAGCATTCCGAAACAAGGAAAGCAATGTTCAACGTACCCGAGAAAACCGGAAAGCCTTTAAAAATGATGGCACTGGCGACATTCGTCGAAAAAAGTTTGATTTTTTTCCAACGAAGTAATTATTAATTTCTGTGTATGTTACCCGAAGTGGTGTCTGCTGTGTAACGCAAAAATCGCCTGGATCCCGAATCTGTTGCGCTAAAACGTTTGATACTATATGCGAATTGTCTTCACTCTATGACCTGATGAACGGTGGAATTATAACGCATTTGTGAATGTTGAGTGCTTTTTGAATCAGGTCGGTTCATGCTGTGCGTGATTTTCATAGGTGTAGTGAAGAACAGTGATCATTTCCGAGTTGGTTTTCCGTCTTCTATTTTGAATGCATGCATGAATCACCTGCGAAGTGATAGAGTGATCATTCATCTCCACGTGTGTTATTCGGAGCAGGATGTGCTGTGCAAAGCCGAAAATTCTGGTGGCAGCGTGAGTCTGTTGGTGCTAAAGAAAATGTGATACGCAAAGCGTCTGTAACCTGATGAACTGAGCTGGTGTACCGCGACGCATTTTTGAGTGTTCAGTGCTTTCGGACTTGGTTGTTTTATGCAGTGTGTGATCACTAGTGTACAACAGTTTGAGTTGGTCTTCCAACTTTCCTTTTTCAAAATGCATCCCGTGAAATTTGCCCCACGGATTACGGATTTTCTCCTTTTTTCTTTCGCAGAGAATTTTGTGCCGTGAACAATGGCATCCGCGGAAGATTATTCTCTGACGTGGTGCGATCATGCCCCGGCTATGGCCAAGTACCTGAACACGCTCCGATGCGAGAACCAATACACCGACGTTGTGTTTTTCTGCGGCAAAGAACGGCTTCCTGCGCACAAACTCGTCCTTCTCGCCAACAGCACCTACTTCGAAGACATCTTTGGCCTGGTTCCTGATCGACCCGGGATCACGATCCCGATCGTGATGCACCACATCCGCAGTGACCTTCTCAATCTCGCCCTGGAGTTCATGTACACCGGGGAAGTGAGTGTCGCGGAGAAGGATTTGCAGAGTTTCATGGCATTGACGAGTGCGTTGGGGATTCGTGGATTCCACGCGGAAGATCAGCAGCAGCAAAATCAACAACAGAATTTGGTTGACGATGACGGGAGCAGTAATAAGTCAGTTCATGTGGGCGATGTTCAGGAATCTGCTGTATCGGAAATTCGTGAATCTTCAGTCATTCTGGCGACTGGTTCAAGTGCACCTGTGGCGATCTCGGGAACAAATTCAGCGGATAACGCTTATCAGGTTACTTGAAGTTGCAGTATTTTTTGTTGTTGGTGCAGTTGGAATGAGGGAAATCCTGGCTTGGATCCGAGGGCTGACTTGTCTTTCTGTTGAAATCCGGCAGATGTCGCCCAAATCACTAATCGATCTAATTTAGTGCATCTTACCTAAAAAAGTAAGCCTTTGAAGACTTTGCTTTTCAAAAGTGCGCAATTATTTATTTTCTGAGTGTTTTTTTTTTAAATGAGGCTTACACGTTTTGAAAAATAGCGAAAATTGGATGTGAAGAAGCTTTATCGGTACTAAGAATTTGGAATTCGTTTGCTTCAAACAAATACACTACCTCAATGACAGTATGAATTGATTCCAAAATGGTAACGAAATTTCTGACGAATTTCCTGGAAAACAGATCTATCTGATTTAAATCAGAACCTAATCTGGGTGCAGTGGAACGTTACAAAGCACACATATTTGGGAGAAGAAGGAAATCAAGAGTCGGATATGTTGGGTATCTAAAGAAAAGAACAAAAACTTTGAGTAACTTTATCTGTAATGTAAAAAATGTAGTCAGGGTTTAAATCTCAAGATTTAATCTTGGCCTGAAAGTTGCGCTGTAACTCAAATTTTCAAAAATCATTTTTATGCATTCTCATATTGCGACCAAGGATGCTCGACCCGCCAGAAAAATTCGAATCATGATGATAATCTGTGAAATAGTTGCCGATTTCTCCATTTCACTACACATGTTGGTTATTGGAGGCTTTTCTTGGAATACACACGGGATGAACCGTAAAATGTTGGTAGGATTCGAGGCAAGAATTGTAGAATCTCAAATCTGAAAAACTTGGCGCATGCTTGAGGAAAGGTGAAGTTGAAACGTCAACAATTACAGCATCACCTTATTTCTATTGTACACATACAATCAAGAACACTAGTTGAAAAGTGCTGCTGGTCCAGTTGTTTGATACTGATGCTAGCATGTCGATTCTGTCAGTTCCTACATTTCAGATTATGAGACCCCGAATTGAACTGAAATTTTGTTTTGCATGACAAAATTTGTTGCAGCATGGTTCTTAATTTTCAAAATAACGTGGGATATGGAGGATCAATACAAGTCATCCCATGTATTAATGAGTTGTGAACAAACAAAAAAACTGTGAGCTGTTCTTTCTAACCAGGTCCCTGTAATCACAGGACTGGTACTTACCTGAGTCACAATTGGTGTTCATGGGATACTCTGGGGTTATAAGTGTGCACTGGTGTGGATACAATTCTTCTACCATTCCAGGGTTGCGTTTTGTGTATTGTACTTATTGCAGATTCAACTTCTTGGAAAATACACTTATATATGCTAGGAAAATCCAAGTGCTGATTCAGTAAGGCAGCCTCATAGCAGATTAATTTTAAAATTAAATTGTATGGCTATTAGGTGGAAGAAAGCAGAAGCATCCTCTCTGCTTGGATTTTCTCAGAAGATTATATTTTCCCCCACATGTATCATAAAAAATAAGACAATCACAAAACACAATCAGCAAATAAAATTTCGAAGAAGTTCATCCGAGAACGTGTTTTGTTGTAGGACAACAAAAATGGCAGCAGTGCCAGAAAAAACTCTCCACACATGATGTCACCACTTGCATTGTGAAATATTGAAGTAAACATGTCTTATTCAATACAAAATGAATTCTCAACAGACACAAAACCAAAGAGCCTAATATTCCTCAAATGTTTCTGTGCATGTTGGGATGACTGTTCTGCATCAAGCTTGGAATGTTTCTGATGCTTTTGTCTGAATTGCGCTAATTACCTCCTGGGTCATCATCTAGGCCGGGGGTGCCCATTACAGCCCATTGTCACCCAGGCCCGCACAGCGACATCTGCCGGCAACGGGAATGGGTTTTCCAGAGGAACCTGGCTAAAAATATACCAAAAATCAGATTGCTTTTTATGTCAATTTAATTTGCATGGGCAAGAATGTATCAAAGTTACCCTCCAGTTTTGACGCCAGGAAAACGTGGATTTGTCTGATGGGGACTTTTTATTCATCTTTTTTGCAGGTTTTGCAGCCTGCGGGCGAAATCTTCATGGCACGTCCTCCTGACCCAAAGAAGCCCAGATTGGCGAACTGACACGAGCCATTCATAACCAGGATTCGTGATCTTGTGTTGTCCTGTAATTTCGCATTCTTGTGTGCTGGAGCGAAAATATACGTAATTTTCCATCTCTTCTCTAAACTTGAGCGATAATTTTATTGCTGATATTTGCTAATTAATCACAATATTACGCTGTAGAAATCCGCCACTTTAAAAAAACAAACTGACTCCCCATTACATTGAGATGAAGATGATTTTCGAAGTCTGAAATATTTCAATGAATTTTGTATTGGCAGAATGCTGCTACTGTACTATTCATTCAGAAATCACATTCAACTCTTTTTTTTTCATTGTTTGATAATCCATCAATTTAGTCTGGCATATTTGATANCTCTGGGGTTATAAGTGTGCACTGGTGTGGATACAATTCTTCTACCATTCCAGGGTTGCGTTTTGTGTATTGTACTTATTGCAGATTCAACTTCTTGGAAAATACACTTATATATGCTAGGAAAATCCAAGTGCTGATTCAGTAAGGCAGCCTCATAGCAGATTAATTTTAAAATTAAATTGTATGGCTATTAGGTGGAAGAAAGCAGAAGCATCCTCTCTGCTTGGATTTTCTCAGATTATATTTTCCCCCACATGTATCATAAAAAATAAGACAATCACAAAACACAATCAGCAAATAAAATTTCGAAGAAGTTCATCCGAGAACGTGTTTTGTTGTAGGACAACAAAAATGGCAGCAGTGCCAGAAAAAACTCTCCACACATGATGTCACCACTTGCATTGTGAAATATTGAAGTAAACATGTCTTATTCAATACAAAATGAATTCTCAACAGACACAAAACCAAAGAGCCTAATATTCCTCAAATTTTTCTGTGCATGTTGGGATGACTGTTCTGCATCAAGCTTGGAATGTTTCTGATGCTTTTGTCTGAATTGCGCTAATTACCTCCTGGGTCATCATCTAGGGGGTGCCCATTACTGCCCATTGTCACCCAGGCCCGCACAGCGACATCTGCCGGCAACGGGAATGCGTTTTCCAGAGGAACCTGGCTAAAAATATACCAAAAATTAGATTGCTTTTTATGTCAATTTAATTTGCATCGGCAAGAATGTATCAAAATTACCCTCCAGTTTAGACGCCAGGAAAACGTGGATTTGTCTGATGGGGACTTTTTATTCATCTTTTTTGCAGGTTTTGCAGTCTGCGGGCGAAATCTTCATGGCACGTCCTCCTGACCCAAAGAAGCCCAGATTGGCGAACTGACACGAGCCATTCATAACCAGGATTCGTGATCTTGTGTTGTCCTGTAATTTCGCATTCATGTGTGCTGGAGCGAAAATATACGTAATTTTCCATCTCTTCTCTAAACTTGAGCGATAATAAAATAACGACTATAAACGATTAATTAGTGTTATAATGCGACATCTTTAGGCGGTGAAATTTTTTTGTTTGACTGAGGGGTAATGTAACTCTACTTCTACTAAAAGCTTCAGACTTTATAAAGTTACAATTTTGTATTGGCAGAATGCTGCTACTGTACTATTCATTCAGAAATCACATTCAACTCTTTTTTTTTCATTGTTTGATAATCCATCAATTTAGTCTGGCATATTTGATAAGATGTGTCATAAGCAGATTTTCTACACTTATCTGTGCTAATTTTCGGAGCCTGAAGTATGTGGTTGTGAGGGAGTAGACAGTTTTCGTTCTCCTTTTTCCTTTCCATAACCAGTTTCCACTCACAACTTTAAAAGTCTAAGAACCTTTGTCAGGTTTCAAAACTTTTAATATTATTCTCATAGTTGATTGAATATGAAGTTTTGGACCCATTTGAAAAAAAAAACAAATAGTTGAAGCAATCAAAATTCAATTGAGTTCAAGTTCACTTCCAAGTCAGATGCGTTTTTTAAAATGCTGTATTGCTACTACTGCAATTATTCTATCACCTGAAATGGGGTGCATGTCTTACTTATTGATGCATTTCTTGTCCTGATGTTTGGCTGAAATTTTCAGAGACATTTTCCAATTGAGGATGCAAGGTACTCAAGTGAATAAATCAGTTCCATCCAATTCTAAAATCGGAGTTATCCATCAAATTTGTCTCTGGAAAGCTTTTATTCCAGGATTATAGACATGTGATGGAAGCTTGTCATTGACAATCTGGAAAAATGAAGGCAAAGTCAGGGGCAATATTTCATGATGAACTTCAATGGGAGTTTTTGTACAAAGGCGGCATTAGTTCAAATGAACTACAGGTGGGCTCTCTCTACAAAGACTTGCTGGGGAGCAGAAAAAAATTTGTTTCTGAGAGATTTTTGTTGTAGACAATCCCTTGAGGAATGTCACATTGATCAGTCCATAAGTTACAATTACTTTGTTACTATTTGAAAATGCTGATTGAAAATAAGCCTAATCTAAGTACAGTACCACCATAAACCCAGAAAAAATATTTTAAGCACACAAGAAATTTACAAAATACAAATAGGCTACAAAGTCTGATGCCAACCTGGT